TGGCTCAGTCCACTAGTCAATGACTTCATGGATTTCTGCCATGTTTTGGTTTGGCCGCCTCTAACTTTCTTCCAACCTATTCCAACACTACAAAACAAGGCTCGACGAGGCAGCCGGTGGTTGGGCATACGCAACACATGTCCCAACCACCTCAACTGATGAAGTTTCAATACTTCATCTATTGATCTGCCATTCTTACCTAGCACCCGATTCCTAATAACAGCGTTGCTCACTCGGGTGTCCCACGATATACGAGCAATGCTTCGAAGGCACCTATGATCGAAAACCATTAACCTACGAATATCTTCTACTCTCACTGGCCATGTTTCACAGCCATAAAGTAAGACGGAGCGAACTACTGCGCAGTACACTCGTCCTTTAGTCAGCGAACGGATATCTCGCCTACGCCATAAGTGACGCAGGTTGGCAAAAGCCAATCGAGCCTTCTGTATCCGTGCTGAGATTTCGTCAGTCACCAGGCCATCGGCACTGATGAGACTCCCAAGATAAGTGAAGCGGTCTACACGTTCGACTACTTCACTCCCTATCATTAGTTCAGGTGCCGATGCAACCCAGTCTTGAAGCAACATTTTGCATTTCGAGGGGGAAAATCGCAACCCGAACATGCTTGCATTGTTGCTTAGGGTAGTCAGAAGACTCTGCATTTTGTCAGCGTCTTCACCAAGTAGGACAATGTCATCGGCATATTCTAAGTCAATCAGCGAGCCACCTGGTAGAAGTTCTACTCCTGAAAATTCAGACGAGGATAATGTTATGTCTAGGAGCATGTCTATGATAAAATTAAACAAGAATGGAGAAAGTGGACATCCCTGACGGACACCACTTGATGTAGAGAATTCCGTTGACAGTTCGCCATAAGCTCTCACTCGACCAGTGGTGTTCGAGTAAAGAGCTTGTATAAGGTTAATGTACTTCTGTGGTACACCTTTCAATGACAGACACTGCCACAGAACCTTACGATCCACTGAGTCAAATGCCGCCTTAAGGTCTAGGAAAACAACTATTGTAGGACGCCTAAATGTGTGTCTATGTTCCAGGACCTGTCTGAGTGTGAAGACGTGGTCTATACAACCACGTCCAGGTCGAAAACCAGATTGGTTTTCTCGAGTCTGCTCTTCACGAGCTTTCGTTAAGCGTCGAAGTATTATTGAGGCCAGTATTTTAGATACTATATTAGTTAGACTTATACCTCTGTGATTGTCACAAGAAGACTTTTGTCCTTTCTTATGGATTGGGACAATCAGTGATTGAGACCAGTCGGATGGGATTACGTCCAGTTCCCAGATTCTACCTAAGATCTCAGTCAACCTAGCTGCTAAAACTGGACCACCATCCTTAAATATCTCAGGGGTCAGTCTATCAGGACCTGCAGCTCGTCCTCGTTTCAGATTTCCTAACGCTTTCTCAACGTCATCAAGACTAGGGGGACTTACGTCGATTTGCCATTCAGGATGACTGGAGATCGTGGGTAACCGAAGAGTGGCTCGTGGCCAGTTGAACTGATCCCTAAAGTGTTCTGCCCATCGATCCAGTCTCCTGGATTGAGAATGGATAATAAGACCATCCTTTTCCGAGATAGTCTCACTCACATTCGGGTTCTTAATACCAGTTTCTTTAATAAGGCGGAAAAGTTGTCTACTGTTGCCGATCGCCGCAGCCTTTTCCATCGCTTTTGCTTTCGCCACCCACCACTGTTCGCGGTCGTTACGCAGACTTTTTATAAGTCTGCGCCTAAGCTCACTACGCTCTTCATCATGTTCAGAGTCAGGTGGGATGCGTTTTCGAGCATCCATCAGTTCGGTGGATGCGACTGATATCCACGGCTTCATCCTAGCCTTATGGTTTACCTTACTAGCAGATATCACTGCTGTTTCCACAGCCTTTTTGATATCATACCAACCTGCTTCTGGATGGGAATCACTTACATCGTTGCATAACTCTCTTCCTAGTTCCTCCTGAAATATTTTCTTGGTTTGATTATCATTAAGTAAAACCCTGAGAGGCTTTCTTACGGTGTCTTTCCTACGCCCAGTAAGCCTTAAACAGATACGAGCTCGCACTAGAGCATGATCTGAATCCAAACATGTGCCCCAGAACGAGCGACAGTCCTCTATCGAACCCCTCCATCGGTGACTGATGGCGATGTGATCTAGTTGAGTCCAACGTTGAGACGACTTTGGAGGTCGCCAGGTCAGCAGATGCTTTTCCTTATGCCTAAAGTTGGTGTTCGCTAAGAATAGGCGGTTATCTGAGCATAGTTGCAACAGACGGTCTCCATTGTCTGTTCTCTCAGTCGCTACACCATAACATCCACCAAGATGTCTTTCCTTTTCACCTAGTCTACCTACTTGAGCATTAAAGTCACCAGCCATTATTACTATATCAGAGCGCCTAGCTTTTTGGAGGAGGTCCGAAAGCTTTCTGTAAAACTCATCTTTAAGCTCGTCTGCACTGCAGTCAGTGGGGGCATAGGCAGATATGACGAAGAGGCAACGGCGAGTGTCCCTATCCTTACGAGTCCTTACTGTCCCGTTTAGTCGGACAGCGCACAAACGACTATCTACTGGGATCCAGTCTAGGAGAGATAATTCTGCCCTAGGACTCAACGCTATGCCTACCCCAGCAAGACCCCTGGAAGCAGCATCAGGGCTACCGGATACACGAAGAGTAAATCGAGCTGCTTCTTTATTTTGACAAGGTGAAATCAGGTTAATGACTTTACTAGGATCCTGTATGCGCGTTTCCGAGACGCAGCATACATCGATGGCACGAGATTCTAAAGTCCTAGCTAATGATGCCTGTTGCCCTATTTGACACAATGTCCGTACATTAAAAGCTCCAATATGTAGTCTAGAACGGGGTTTCAAGAGACCAGGAACGACGTTTCGTGATCTCACTTCGTCTGCATTAGCGGTGCAGTGAGAAAAGGGAGTGTGAGTAGAGTTAGTCGTGGAGATAAGAGAGACATTAGGGGGTGTAGGAAGGATTTGATTTTGACCAATTTGGTCTCGCGTGCTGGTACGGGTATGAGGGCGGTTGTCACTTCCCGGCTGCCCACACCGTGGAAGGTTGTTTCTTGAGGGACCTGAAAAGGAAGATGGATTAGTGTTGGTGCGTGACCGCAGAGTCCAAGGGACAACTGCTTGAGGCCGGTCACGCACGGCCTTTTTATGAAAGGTATTTTGAGGATTAGCTCCGTTCTTAAAGGCCCTTAGTGGGCACCCTTACCCAGGGAGACGGAAATCCGTGAGTTAGGGGGAGTGTGACATTTTTAGGGCCGACCTTTTCTAACCCTTCCTTCCTTGTGAGAAGGCAGCATCGCTGCAGATGCTGGTTGTCCGAGGGAAACACCTTACTGCTGTCACACCCCTCTGCAGTCAGCAGTACGACTTCGCCCTCAGACCTTGGGTAGCTGCTTTTAGTCTCATCGTTCTCCAATCGACCTGCCTGGCATGGTAGGACCTGCAGGAACATATGTTCCAGCCAGTATAGCTCGGTTGGGTCATCACGATAGGCAAGCCCGACCACCACGTCAAGGTAGCAGCTTCGGTATGTCAACAATCAATCAAAGTCACAATTTCAATACGCATGTCAAACCAGTTCTATTGTATGCAACAGAAATCCAAAGAACTACAAAAGTCATCATCTAAAAGTGTTTATTAACAATTGTCTACACAATATACCGTTGGTCAGACACTATCAGCAACAGCCTAGTATGGCAGTGAACAAACCAAATACCTTCTGAGGAAGAAATTAATAAGAAGCACCGGAGGTGCGTCGGACATACTGTAGAAACCACCCAACTGTGTCAAAAGGCAACCTCTAACTTGGAATCTTCAAGGCTGAACGAGAAGAGGAAGACCGAAGAAAAGTTACGCCGAGAATCGGAGACAGACATCAGAAAAATGAATAGAGCACTTGATAAACATACAGACAGATACAACGCAGAACTTCTTACCTAAGTACATCAGTTCATGTTGCCATACCACATCAGCAAAAAGACGCAACTTTCAGTTCAAATCCAACAGTGATAGCAATAACAGAAGTATTAGCAGTAATGGAGAAGATTAGGGAGCGAAGATATGATTCGAAAAGTATAATTCAATGAGATAAATTTAGAAGGAGAAAGGTAGAGATTATGCGGGATGCGGAAGCTTAGAATTCCATAGAACTCAAAGAGTGGATGCACCTGCGCCATCGCAAACGATTTTGAACCATTTCGATCAAGGTCTCTAAGCATCGGTGACTATCGCCTCGCGGAACCCACCCAGGTAGCCTATATTTACCAACATGACTTAGTCTACTTGTCAATGACTTCAGGGATTTGTGCCACGTTTCACTTTGGCCGCCCCTTACTTTCTTCCAACCTACTCTGACACCACAAAACAAAGCTCGTTGAGACAGTCGGTGGTTAGGCATATGTAACACATGCCCCAACCACCTCAATTGATGAAGTTTCGCTACTTCATCTATTGATTTGCCATCCCTACCTAGAACTCATTTCCTAACGATAGCATTACTTATAAGGTTGTCCCAGGATATACGAGCAATGCTTCGGAGACATCGATGATCGAAGACTAGTAAGCTACGAATATCCTCTACTCTTAACGGCCATGTTTCACAGCCATACAGTAAGACGGAGCGAACTGCTGAACAGTACACTCATCGTTTGGTTAACAAGAGGATATCTCGCCTGCGCCATAGTTGACGCAGGTTGGCAAAAGCCAATCGAGCCTTCTGTATCCAAACTCAGATTTCATCAGTCAGTAGGCCATCAGCACTGAGGAGACTCCCTAGATACATGAAACGGTCTACACGTTCGACTACTTCACTCCCTATCACTGGATAGGAAGACCCAGGTTACAGAATAGGTTTGAGAATACTGTCCAGCGAGCTTATGCTCCAGTGACGGGGTAACTGGCATAAGTCAGTAAGTAAGGAAATAATAAAAAATTCAGTTTTAAATTTAATGTTACAGCTTACTTACTAAGTAAAACATCCAATGATTCATTTTGATTAAGTGGTGAAATATTTAAATCTTGCGGAAAATTCACTAATTCTATATCATTAATAATATGTGGTAATAAAGTTGCCAATGTACGACATAATGCACTAATAAAATGTCGTTTTTCTTCTAATTTGGAAGCATTAAATACCCATATCTAAAATGAATAGAAAAAAATGTGAGGAGAAATTGGATGAAATTAAGTAGTTTTATGTGACATGATTTCATGAAGTGTCAAGGTAAAAAATACCACCTCCATAATACCCTAATGCAAAATCAATAAAGAAATGTGCTCAATAGGGATTAGTAGCTACGTGAGGTAATTCCCAGAGTTCTAGTGAGAAGCTATTGTAGGTGTGTACGGATTTACTGCGTGTTCTTAAGCTCGGTAATCAACTCGTTCAGACAATCGTAGCCAAATAGCGTCTGACGGTTTATGAATCGGAAGATGAACACAAAGTGATGAATACGTTTATTCGGGATACATCACAAAGCGAAGCGGACACGCAGTGAATAAAACGAATGAAGCGACGTGAACTGGAGAAGGCTTTTGAGCCAACTCCCAGGATTACAATGCGAACGAATGGGCGAAACGCATTGGAGAAGGCTAAGAGCCAACTCAAAGAGATAGAACATGACTAAGAATATATAGTCAGACAAAAATAAGGCAACCACATGACAAGCGAAGTAGGCGTGCACACACATGAATAAAAGCGACGAATAACTGACAAGGTCAAAAGATAAGTGGGACAGGTCACATGAGCTCATACAAACCAGACAACAATAAGAACGAATGGTACATATAAATTGTTGCAATACAAATGGCTTGGTTAAATAAATTAATCGAAAGGCTCAATCAAATTAAATATGAGCGAACTGGAATATATGTGGAGGCACTACACTATGACCAGTGGAGTTCAACCTTGTCGAGTGTAAGCAGTTACCTACCTAACCACCGACTGCCTCAACGAGTTATGTTTTGTGGTGTATGATTAGGTTGGAAGAAAGCTAGGGGCGGCCAAACCAAAATATGGCACAAATCCATGAAATCACTGACAAGTGGACTGAGTCATGTTGGTAGATTTAGGTTACCTGGTTGGGGTCCGCGAGACGATAGTCACCAATGGTTAGAAACCTTGAACAACATGGCTCAGAATCGTTCGCAAAGGTCGCAAGTGCATCCACTCTTTGTGTTCTATGAAATTCTAACCTTCTGAATTCTTCATCATCTCTACCTTTCTCTTTCTAAATTTATCTCACTGAATTATACTTCTCGAATCATATCTTCGAACCCTAATCTTCTCCATTACTGCTAATACTTCTACTATCGCTATCACTCTTGGATTTGAACTGACAGTTGCGTCTCTGTGCTATCGCGGTATGGCAACCTGTACTGATGTACTTACGTACGAAGTTCTGCATTGTATCTGTCTGTCGACTATTTGGAAGAATGTGTGATAGGTGTTTCTCTCTCTAACTGAAAGTAGTTCAACCTACTGATTATCAACTGTTTCAAATCATAAGTGCCTTAATTTGGGTAAAGAATGTGGTTAGTAATAAGGAACAGATATTTTAGTAGCATCAGCAGGTACGTTTTTATGTCGCCCCAACAATTGATTTCCTGTTTCAACTTAGTATAATAGATCTTAAGTCAGCATTACTCACTCGAGTCTTTTGACAGCCTTAATCAACGATGTAAGCATGTTAAGAATGCATTTCTTTCCATCTAAATGTAAAATATTGTTTAAACACTGGGATATATTGATACCTGAACCAAAGATAAGGAAAAGAGTAACCGAGTGTATCGATCGCTTCACTTATCTACGACAAATCATCACCACTGGTGGGTTAATATCTAACGAAACGGAACAAATTCAGGAATCTATGTTAACTCTTGCTAACTTATATCACTTGCGGATTATGAGAGACAGTAGTTTGTTAATTAAGGATGAGTTTACTGGGTAGAAGTCTACTTCATATCTCTTTATGCCTATGAAATATGACCTGTAAAAATATAGAATACTTATACGCTACTAGTACCCAATTACAGAAACCTTTGGAATGTTACTTTTTTAAGCTAATAGGATAGATTTAACAATTCTCAGGTTAGACAATTAGTATTAAATAGGGATTACAAGTCGGTTGATGAAGTAATAAATCTCTATCGACTAAGATGGTAAAGACATGTATTGTTAGCATTAGCGATACGAGATAATAAACGTATACAAGGAGGGTTAGTCCTGAAGACAAGAGAGTTATTCAGAGGAATAGAAAAGATTTTAATATGACTAATTTGGTCTTGTGTGCTGGTAGGAGTATGAGGACAGATGTCATTTCCGAGCTGCCAACATCTTGGAAGGGCATTTCTGCTTCAGGAACCTAAAGAGTAAGTTATATTAGTGTTGATCTTAACAGCCAGGTAGAGAGACCACATAGACAGAGACAAAAATGCTTGGGGCCGATCATAGGACCTTTTATGGGACGTTTTTGAAGTGTTAGCTTAGTGCTTCAAATGGCTTTACCGCCGGAGACAGAAATCCGTGGGGTAAGATGAGGTATGAGATTTGTACGGCTGACCTTTTCTAACCCCTTCCTTAATTGTGAGAAGGCACCATTGCTGCAGATGCTGGTTGTGATGCTAGGTTATGAATGAAGCGAAAATAACTAATAAATGTGTCCAGAAGTACTGATAGTAATCCTCAAGCGCATAAAACAACAGTAGACTCCGTTGATATGAGCTCTTAAAGTACTAAAATTTCCGAAAAATTACTGACGAAATGTCCTGATTCAATACAGGGTTGATGAGAGTTGAACTAGGATACGTTAGTGAGAACTTTAAGGGAATATTATTACAATAAACTCATAAGTTACAGTTTTTGCTCGTTACGACAAAGAAAATCAGGTCAAAATAGGGAGCAGTTATTTTTAAAATGAGCAAATAGCATGATAAGTACTAACTTGAGGGGGGGGATGTAGGTGGCGGGGGGGGGGGTAAGGGAGGGGGAAGGTAAGA